CCCCAAAACCCCAAAACCCCAAAACCCCGAAAGGGATTTTAACAATAAAATTTGAAGCATATATAATAAACAATCAAAATGGAATAAAAACATCTCGTTTACATCAAATCTCCAATCAAGTAAAAATTAATGCAGCTCTAGAGACAGTCTTACCAGAACACTAGAGAATCTAAAGATAGCAAGAATGCCTTCACAGTTAAATACATAAGGGATGTGAGCAGACTGCTATTTACAGAAAACTTGCTCAATAAGCTTGAAAAGCAGGAATAGCAAAAGGATTAACTATAGCATTAAAATCCTCATTAGAGATGTCTGAATAACACTTCAATAGAAAATGGAGAATGGGGATTTGCTAAGCCAATGACTAGCATCAAGAAAAATAGAAGGCATTTACATCTAAATAGAAGTTATCATTTCTAAAATGTCAATTTCGAAGATAGGAATACCTATTCCCATAATCACTTAAGCTAGCCAAACATAGAATAGCAATGCTATTATTCCTTCATCAATAATGAAATCAAACTGGATACTTGATAGCCAACAGCAAACCATAAATTCTTATTTAAACCAAAACAGATTCTGAAAATAGAGGCTCCACCTATATTGTCTTCAGGTAATCGTTAAAATAGGCAAGTAAATGCTCATCAGCAATCATAGTTTTCTTCGTAGAGCGATATTTTTGATGTAGCTTAGAAAAAGATAACAATCAGGGATAAACTATCCTAAAGATAGCAAGAAATGAAAAGACCTTAAACACAGTTTACTATTAATAAAGATTAATCAGGACTATCAATCGTATCTAATATCAATCCTGAAGTTTATGCAGATGCTAGGAAGGGTTCCAATGAAAAACATGCAAGGAAAGGTTCAACTTGCCATAGTAAGAATTCTAGTACCATATTTTCAAAGACTTCAGCAACTCCAATTACGAAAGCAGTTTCTAAAAAGGATAACAGTCCAGTAATATATTAGTCAATTCAAGTGAAGACTTATAATAACTCAAAATTATTTGGAAGTCATCATCACAATAATTCCCTTTATAATTAGTACCAAGCTTATATAAATAATGGAAACCATGATACTAGCACAATCGTTTATGACTAATACGAAGTTGAAGGGACCATTTCTGGTACAGATTATCCAATGACTAAAGTTGGCTCTATAGATCAGGATTATGCAGTTTTAAATGATTATAGTAATATTATTAATCAAAAGCCAAAATCTTTACCCAATACCAATGCTGTAAAGTCTAGAGTAAAGAATTTTCTCAATTAAAGCTAGTATTAGGGCTTAAATGATAAGTTTAGCATAAAAAATAAAGCTTAACTAAGAAAAGGCTTGAAAAATAGTAGTCTTATTACTAATAGTAATAAGCTTAAATAGTCTATACAATGGGGAGAAAGTGATAATGGCAGCAACCACAAAATGAATAAATCTTTTGATTTAAATAGCATGAAATCAAAATTTCATAATCACGAGTAAGGAAATAATGATAAAATAAACTATGATAAATACTTTAAAGTGGCAAAAGTAGATTACAGCCCCTTTTAGGACAGATCACAAGATATTATAAAGAAAAAGGTCTAGTGCTTTCTGAATCCATCTATCTTTAGAGATGGTAACAAATATTCGATTCAGCCAGAGTATAATCCTAAATATCTATTAAAAATAAAAGAGTATAACAGAAGATAAAAATCAAAGTAGTTTCATGAAACTCTGAATAAGTTTAATTAGACTAATAATGATGTGAGCTTGATTAAAGAAATTGAAAAATTGATATAAACTGCAGATAAATATGATTGATTTTTGAGATATTTTTATTAAGACTATTCTTGATAGATTTATACTATAGGGGTTTTGGGGTTTTGGGGTTTTGGGG